CAAAGCGAATATTTTTATTTAGACTGTTACTGATATCCAATTTGTTGATTAATAGCAATTTGTGTAACGTCTACCAAAAAATTAAAAGTTTTTAAAAGTTAAATATAAACAAGTAGTATAGTTTTTATATATGTACTTTTATTAAGTACATATATAAAAACTATACTCATTGTTTACTAAAAGTAAACAATGAGTATAGTTTTTCTATATGTACTTATTTATTTTTCTACCTCTTACTAAAATTGAAATAAGAAACAAGTATCTATACTTATTCCTTACTTCAATTTTAGTAAGAGGTAGAAAAATAATTAGAAAAGGTCGGCGTGGAATTGATTTACCAAGACCCGTACTTTGCGGGTCATGACAGTTAGTATAACATTAATGTATCATCTAATATTAACATGTTCACGTAGATAAAATTTCATATAAATATAGTATGTTTTATTTAAATTTTTTTAATCAATCGTTAATATCACTGTAACTGTTTCATATTAATTTAAATATGTACCCCTTAAAACCAAACATAAATAATGCGAGCTAACTTTTCAAAATACAAAACCATTAAAAATAAGTGCTAACTTTTTTCAATTACAAAACCATATAAAACAAGATGTGACATATAAAAAAAGTTTCTAATTAAAACTTCGTCTATATGAAAGGCATGATCAATATGTTCACCGTAAAGAATTGTAAAATTGCAATTTTTTTCTTATCAATTTAATAATTTTCTGTAAAAAAAAATTTTTTTTATATAAAAATTTATTTGTAGTATAAAAAGAATTTCCACTTCGAGAGTTTTGTAAAAAAGAATCAGTATTATATAATATATATAAAGAAAGTAACTTATTATATAAATAAGTTCACAGGGTGTCACAGTCATACTTTAAAAAAGTCGCACACATTTTTGACAAACTTGAACTTTCTTTATCAAATCATCTTCAATCGATTTTAAATCTCTTTAATTGATAAAAATTTTTTTAAAAAAAAGGTGATGAAAGAAGCAATTTCAGTCCAAGCAGTAGCAACTTTACTACTAAATATTTGTGTTGCCGCTTTTACTCGCTTGACGAATATTGATCCTGGATTTAAATCACAATCTAATCTTGTCCAAACTATAAAGCTCTTACATATGCTTGTTACTATTTTAAAATCAGATAAAATTTTTTGTTTTATTAAACTACTTTTAATTTACTTTTGCTCCAGTTGAAATTTGTTGTTTTTATAATGAAAACTCTGGAAATTTGAAGGCTCTAATGTTACTGGAGCTTTGATTACAAAAAGTTACATACTTACATACTTTATGTCAATGAAACATAGTATTATTTACTATTTTAGCTAAATTGGTTGAACACATGATAATATCACTGCAAAAATAAGTATACTGATTTGCCATTAGATTGAACTCTGAAGGTCATTTTTTTTCTGAAGGTCAGTTTTTGTCATAATCAAAATGCTGATTTAATGGAACTTTAACAAAAACAACGCTACAGTTTCAATTTTTTTTATGGAGTTGGTGTTGTGGTTAGACGAACCGATCTGTTAATATCTTATTAACCGGTCTATATTATCTGGATATTACTAATAATGAAGAACTTTTTAGACGGGTTTTAACTATATTGAAAAAATGCATTAATATTAAAATGTTTAAGATGCTTTAAATTGTAATCACGCTGTGATTTTAAAGTCACTTATTTATAGTAAATGTTAAACGACTTTATCACACCGTGTTATATACTTTATTTAGAATCTGTTGTGATATATATTAAATAAACAATTAAAAAAATTTTAAGACATAGAGTTGGGAATGGAGATTTAGCTCATAATAATCCAAGTGCAACATGTTTGAATAAATATATTTATCCTACACTTGGTTATAGTTTCATTGTGATATTGATAAAATTTTTAAAAAGTTATAAATAAATTCTTAACTCTTAGTCTAGGTGACTATGGTTTGATGTCGATGGCTTTAACTTATTCTTCACTAATATAAATAAATATAATTGTAACTTGATAATCATGTTGTACATATGTTGCGACCGTATTGTATACATGTTGTGATCATGTTGTATACATGTTGTGACCGTGTTGATATATGTTGTAACCATATGTATATGTGCAATAAACTTTGTAGATATGTTGTAACAATGTTATGTATGTGTAATAAATTGTTATGTTGTGCAATTCTTTATTTTTGTTTTATAAAACTTTAAATGAATGTAAGCACGAAGAAAAACTACACAAATTGAAAAAGAAATTTTTCACGCAATCATGGTTGTGTTTGTTTTCGATAAATTATTTAGGTTTTGAATGGTTTATTAAAAATGGTTTTTCTAGGGCACAATTATCTTGAAAATATTTGTGTCACAAATAAATAAGGAAACTGTAACATCTATTTCTGTGGTTTTGTGTATTATTTACATTTTTTTACATTAAATTTTCTTAATACTAAATGTAAATAAAAGTAGAATTATTATTAAAAAAAAACTTGAATAAGTTATTGAAATATTTAAATAAAGCTCAATAGTAAAAAATGTTAAATAACGTACTTGTTTTGTAAAGCAGAAATTTGAGTTAAATCCTCTACACGTACTTGCTTGTACCCCGCTAGGCTTCTTGGTCCGCGCAGCTGTCTTGTTGTTTAAGGTTTGTGTATAAAGTGTATTACGAGACGGTTATAACACATATTAACTAGTATTTAAAAGTGTTTTATTTTTTTATGAAGTGGTAAACGTAGTAAAAAAAAAATGTTTTTGCGGATGTTGAACGTAGAGACTTTGCAAAATACAATGCTAATTAGAAAATGAGATGCAAAAATGATTAAAATTTCACTCACACAGTAAAGCTCATCATTTTTTTCAGTAAGGAAGTAAAAATTTTTTATTAAGTTCTCAAAACAAGTTTGAATTTATTGACATGTTTTTAATTTTATCAAAAAATCTCTTAGCGTAATTTTAAATTATTACTTACACAAGTTTAGACTTTAAAAAAAGGTGAAACGTTAACAGTGGGAATACATATCGCAAACAGACTGAATGAACACTTTAAATCAGTTTTTGTTGATGATAGCAAAAATGATCAGTTACCTATTTTTGAAAGAAGACATAATCCAGAAGACTTGGGCGATGTCATAATAAATTTTGAAGCGACGCTTTATTATTTGAGTGGTTTGAACCCGAACAAATCTATTGGTGTCGATAACATTAGTCTAAAGTTACTTAAAGAATGCACAGCTCAAATGACTTACCCTTTAACATTAATTTAAAATAAAGCTCTGTCTGAAGGCTCAACAACTACAGCCTAGAAGCAGTCACACGTCACACCGTTATTTAAAAAAAGAAGTCGTCTTGATGCCGCTAATTACAGACCAGTGTCTATTACTTTAGTTTCATGTAAAGTAATGGAAAAAATTATCAGGGAACAGATAACTAAATATCGTGAAAAAACGAGCTGCATCTTAAACAATCAACATGGATTTATGTACAAAAAGGAATGTACGTCTAATTTATTGGAAAGTGTCAACTACATTACTAAGGCGTTAAGCAAAAGAAATTTTGTCGATATTGCATTTTTGGACTTTGCAAAAGCGTTTGATAAAGTTTCTCATCGTAGACTACTACATAAATTGAAAGCATATGGGATCAATGGCAATGTTCGCAAATGGATTGAGTCATTTTTGACTAGCAGAGAACAACGAACTGTTTTAGGTAACCACTTTAACAACTTTTTTTAGGTAATCGCTTTAACGACCGATGTTATAAGCGGAGTTCCACAAGGGTCTGTACTTGGTCCAACATTATTCATCATCTACATAAATGGCTTAACGGATAATTTAAAATCAGTTCATAAAACCCATGCTGATGGCACTAAATTGTTGCAAAAAATAAGATCTGAGTTTCACGATGCTGATTGTCTGATTCTTCAAAATGATTTAAACATTGTCTCAGAGTGGTCAAAAGAATGGTTTATGGAATTAAATGTTGTAAAGTGTAAAGTTATGCACCTTGATCATGGAAATGTTAATCATGAATATGTAATGAATAATGGTAATACATCTCTTATTATAGCAGCAACGGATTTGAAAGAGACCTGGGTATCTTTATATCTAACAATCTAAAATGGAATCAACACATACAGGCTGAAATACGTAGAGCAAATATGATACTTGGCCTACTAAAAAACATTTAGATCAACAGATATGAAGCTTTGGGGTAAACTATATGCTACGTGTGTTAAGCCGCGTCTGGAATTCGCTGTTCCGGTATGGTGTCGTTACTTAAAAGGCGACATCAAAGATATTGAAAAAGTTCAGCACAAAGCAACGAAAATTCCTCATGGTTTAACAAGTTTACCTTATGCTGAAAGGTATCGGCGTCTCAATCATATTTCTTTGGAAACTCGCAGGCAACGCAGCAACTTGATCCAACAGTTTAAACTTGAAAACGGTTTTGAAATTATTAATTGGCATAATCCACCTCTTCGCAGATCACCATCCAACGCACTAACGCGTGATTTCACTTACAATAATGCTTGTCATAATTTCTTCACAAATCGTATTGTGAATGATTGGAATTATTTACCTTTGTCATGCAAAAAAGCTCCGTCAAGTAACGCATTCAAAAGTAGAATTGACAAGCATTTTTTTTCTACAGCTGCAAACAGTGCATCTTTTACTGAAGATGAGCTGCACGCTTAATTTAATTAATTCGTGCAGCTACAAATACTGACTTTTTAGGTACATTTGTCATAAATGTAAAAGGTAATTAAATGAAAGCAAAAAAAAAAAAAAAAAAAAAAAAAAAAAAAACTTTGTTTTTTAATCTGTTTATTTGATTGTTTTTATTTATTTGTCATGTAATCTATAAAGACTTATTTAAATATATTACTATATTATCTATATTTCTATATTACTATTACTAATGTACAGTTACCTAAATTACACAATGAAAATTCAAGTTATGTCACTGATCAAAAGTTACAATATATATTTTAATATCACTTACGAAAATACGGTTGAATCGAATGTTACTTTTAATGGAGGTTTGCAGTAAAAATTTCTTTCTAAAAAAAAAAGTTTTTGACTAATGATCATTTTATCATTTTTAAATTAACTGTGTAGTTACCGTGCTAATATGTATTATGACGGCAACCCTACTTTAAAATTTAATTGACAGATTATTTGGAAAATGTGTTTATATATAGAGTTTGGGCTGTTGTAATTGTAAAAATTAAATAAAAAACATAATTATTGTATTGTAATATTAGAGAAGTAATTAAAACATTATTTATTGCATTGTATTCCTGTGATATAAAAAGTAATACAATAACTATTGTATTGTTTTTATTCTTATTAACATTGTATTAAATCCCCAAAACTATTGTATTGTATTGCTGTGATGAAAAGTTATTATAGTAATTATTTGTTTAAACATATTACGACCGTCCCAATCAAAATTTTCATGACTAATTTTGAAATGTCTAACTATAGCTGAACTTTTCCCTTTACCTTATTGTATACTTACCTCATGTTGGCATATAAGAAACAATATCTTTAGCCCTATTTTGTCAGTAAAATGTTTGCCACAAGAGCACTCTAATTTATAAACACCGGAATAAGAATTAACGGGTAGTGTCGGTTTATTTTTGGAACTAAGTTCATGTTGTAGATTTTTGGAGATTTAAACACTGGCGCGTATCCTGCTTTTTTAAAGACTGCTCTTAACTTAGAAATCGTCTCAGAGATCCAGGGTAAAGAAAAAAAACGTTTTGGAGACGTTAAAAAAATGTTGTTTTTTTGTGAGATCTTTTTTGTTGCTGATACTTTCTTTTGCAGAATCAACTAGTTTCTTTTGAAATTTTCCTCTCATATCCGTTTTTTGCAAACACAACGATAAAAATGATAACTCATTCTCAACTATTTTTACTGTACACAGATATAGTGCTACATGGACAAAACCAATAAAGACAAAATTGATAGTTTTGGGGTCATGAAATGAAATTGATAGTTTCAGGGTCATGAAATGAAATCGGTTAATTTAAATGTTTTTGATTGCACTTTTACGATATATTTTAAAACTATATGTACCTGTTTAATGATAGTAACTGGAGTATCAAGAGAGTTTAATGTGTTTGTCAAGTCGGCAGATTCCATGGTGTATTGAATACTTTTATGTTGTTTATTAAGAAGATCTAAAACATTTTGTGTATTTTCTTTTAATAAAGATTTAAAATTGATATTATCGTGAAGCGCTGTAAAAAAAAAAAAAAGAAAAAAAAGAAAAAAGCACTCAACAATCACTGCTATAAGAGTTAAGTGGATTGGTCTAGAGTTTTTGAGCTCATTAATATAATTTTCATATAAAATATGAGTAAAAGAGTAATCTAATCTCTTCAAAAGTTAATTTTGATAAAAAACTTCTTAATCTTTCAACAAATAAAATACCTGGCTTCTTCAGGATCAAAGGGTACAAATTAACGACATCAAAAGATACCTAAATCTCATTCTTGTCAGTTTTCCATAATCTTGCTGTATCCGCAAACTGCTAAGAACTTTTTAAACGCGTTTCATTTAAGTTAACTGTTTGGTTTAGTTTTACTTTAGTAAAAGTGTTAGCTTGAAGCTTTAAATTTAGATTTAGTTTTGATAATACTTAGAGATGCTATATAAACGTGTACCAATGGTGCTTACAAATAACCGTATTGGGCAATCATTTTTTGACTTGCGCTTTAGGTATCATATATAAGCATGGTGGTACGGCCTTACTAGGATATATATTTTTATATTCATTTTTTCTAAAACGCTTTAGTTTATTTAACATTCTGAGAGTGTTGTGAACTTTGTAAACAACTTAAATAGCTGGGTCGTATTTTAACTTTTTTTTATCTCCTAAGTGTTCTTTGATTTTGTTCTAGAGTGCAGTTTCAATCAATTAATACTAAGCTCAAAGAGATATATTACAATATTCATATTTTTTCTAATTTCGTAAAGCAGTGCATTCAAGGGAGAACATACTGATGATTTTGGTCAACAATTTTCTGTCTAAATGTAAATTCCATTGAGGGAACTTGAGAAAACCTTTTTAGTTTCCGTTGTAAACATTTTATCGCTTCAACATTTAACATTAACACTTTCTTATTCACAACTGCAAACATATGGGTTACATTTATAAGATCAACTGCCCCTGGAAAAATAGTTTGTATAAAAGATTCATCAACTTGACAACATTGTCAAGTTGATGAATCTTTTTTAATTGTTTTAAATGAATGCACGTTATAATTGATTTAAATAAATGCGCTGGATCATGAAGCATTATAAATTTTGATTAATAATATTTCCTAACCATGGCACATCTCCTTTTAATCTAAATTTTTATAGACACTAAGTTTGTTGCAAGATTGTCTGAAATGAAATATAAAATTTCACCTAGTTCAGCTGTCTTAAGAGTTTGAACAACTAAACTTTGTTAAAAGTGAACAGAAAGTTTAACATAAATATCATCAAATAGAAAAAACAACCCTTTTTATAATTTGATGCTTTAAATACACATCAGGTAATGAGTTTCTGGATTCTATTGAAATACTTGCAAAATTTGTTGACTAAGATGTTGTGCCTGCTTATCATAAGATTGAAGAAGCACAACCAGAAAATATTGATGGAGGATCTAAGGGAATCTATAAAATAATTCAAAAGAACTTTTTTAAGGATAATGCATACTGAATCCTAACGGCCAGTGCTTTTCATAAATACTCATATTATTAGTTAGATTTTAATTTTAAACCTTGAAACTTTCCTGGGTACTACCATAGTTTCTACGACGATTTCCCACTGAAAAATTTTTAGGCATGTCTTAAATTATTTTACAAATTTACTTTTGATTTTATATTTATTTACTAAACTAAATTTATTTCATATAACTAAATTATATATAATAGAAAAATTTAAAATATAGTAATATTATGCCGGGTAGATAAAAAAAAACAAATGCTTTTACTCAGTAATAGTTCAGCTTTACGTGAATAAAAATTTCAGCAATTTTGCTTAAGTTTTTATTCACGTAAAGCTAAGCAATTACTGAGTAAATTGCTTCACTTTGCGTGAATAAAAATTTGTGAACAAAAATTTGTGCTGATTATATATATATATATATATATATATATATATATATATATATATATATATATATATATATATATATATATATATATATATATTAAAAATTATATTCATTATATTTATATTCACGTAAAGCTTACAAAAAAAAATTACCGAGTAAAAGCAATTGCTTTTTTTTATTCACACAGCCTATTATTTACCATAAAAAATGCTATAATGGTAATGTGGCTGTAGATTTTCTTTATCAAGTCTACACACATAATACATTAAAATTGATGTGTTTATTATACGTGTTTATTATAAGCTCCTATTCTAACAAAAAAAAAAAAAAAAAAAAAGAAAAAGATGAACTACTAAGAATATCAAATAATCAAGATAATATACAGTTTTATACAAACATTTATAGAACCAATCTAATTCTAGATTTATTTTTATTTTTGCTTTAACAAAATGCAACATTGCTAACCGCCAAAGTTAGTCCTCTCGTCGAATTCAAAATAAAAAAATCAAATGCAACCAAATAATGCTAATTTAGTTTCTTTATATAAAATTTATGCATTTTTTCAATTTAGAGAAATAACTATGTAAGTTTTCAATTTAGAGAAATAACTATGTTTAGAGACAATGTTCTTCAAGATTTATTCATCACAAAGTTCATTATTTGTACACGAAAATTAATAAATTAATCGAAAGTATTAAAAGAAGTTGATTTACTTCCGGACAAGACAAGTGCAACTCCACAAAATGTTGACCAAGCTGTATTTCGCTATCAATATTTCGTGGCGAATCCTTTGTTGTTGATCACAGCCTTGCATCTTCGAGGCATAGATTCCATCAGGTGATCAATGAAAATTTGTGGAATTGCTGCTCAGGCCTTTTGGATTTATTCAAACAGTTGATCCTTATTACAAAAACCTTCACGATTAATTCTGCGGATGACGATCTCCCACAGGTTCTCGATAGGGTCGAGATCCGGAGATTGAGGCGGCCAATCCATCACTGATAGGTGATTGATTGTCTTGAAACCACTGGTTAACTACTTTTGCAGTGTGTTTCGGATCGTTTTCTTGCTGAAAAACTTATTGACACATTCCATTCAGCATGAGGTAACATAACACCTTTCAGGATATTTTTATACATGAAACGGTCCATTATTCTATTGATTCGACGTATTAGACCTATACCGTTGGCAGAAAAACACCCCCAGACCATTACATTGCCTTCGCCATGCTTCACGGTCTTATGGCAGTAACGTAAATGGAGGCATTTTGCGGCCGGTCGACGTACGCGGCAAATGCCATCGCTCCCAATGATGTTAAACTTCGATTCATCACTAAACAGGACAGTTCGTCATTTCTGCACATTCTATTCAATATGAGATGTAGCAAGCAGGAGTCTTTTTTTCTGGTTCTTTAGTGAATTTAGCGGTTTCTTTGCAGGGCGTCAAGAAAACAATCCGGCTTCAACAGCACGTTGTCTGATTGTTCGGTCTGATACAGACAGCTCTAATTGCTTTTGTATCTCGACTGATGATATACAGGGATCATTCTTGACGGATCTGATGATTATAGAATCTTCTCTAGAAGTTGTGGAAAGTTGATAGCAGATAACAAAGGTGGAACGTCTTCCACCTTTGTTATCTGCTGCCAACTTCCCCGTAAACGATATTTGGAACATAGTCTTGATACGGTCCATTTTTTCACGCGATATTTATCACAAATACTTTTTTGTGACATTCCACTTACGTAATCGTCAATAATTTTCTTTCTTAGTTCCAATCCAAGACTGTCGGGAGCTATTTTTACACTTGAAGTCATAAAAATAATAAAAATAAATAATCACTCTTCTCAAGGCTTACCGTGTTACATTTACCTTGTGATGATACAATAATGCTATGTGGAACACAACGTCTTGGTTGGATGTGGAATGTATTAATGGAATGAAACAC